CAAAGAAGCAAAGTTATCTGGAGTAGTAAATATAGGTGCTCTTTGGACTTTCTTTTATTATGCTAAAATAGTGGTGCTTTTAGGATTTACATTATTGTATTCTCCAATACAAAGGATGGGGCGTGTTAAAGTATACAGTACACCATTTTCATACATGTACAACATTGGTGGATGAAGAATGTCTCTTTTTTTTTTTTTTTTGAAGAATGTCTCTTAAGCAGTAATACTGGATGTAGCCTCTGGTTTTACCAGATGCATACTCTAGGACTATTATAGAAGTAAAAATCTCTCTTGTGATACTGGAATGTGCAAACTGATGTAGTAGCTTTCATCCGCCTCTTAAAGGGTACCACCACAGGAAAGTCCATTTAAGATGTTGTAGGTTTAACAGAGTTGGAATGCTGGCACTGTTGAATTGGGCAACAGTTCTTCAGACCTGGCTCAGAGCTACAATGCATTCAGTATATTAAAGCAGGTGACATGATGACTTTTTGCGAGCCTTCCCAGGCACAGGAGTTTTTCGGTTAATTTGCCGCACTAGGTCATAAAAGATCTCATTAACATTTATTTTTGACTTTGCAGAAGATTCTAAGAATGCACAGTTGTTCCACTGTCGTGCTAGATTTTGACCTTGCTCCTTTCCTACAACTCTTTCATCTTCTAAGTCACACTTATTACCAACCAGAATCATTGGAACATCATCACTGTCCTTAACTCGAAGAATCTGTTCTCTCAAGTCTTGCAAATCATTAAAAGTGGACTGTGCCGTGATGGAATAAACTAATGCAAATCCTTGCCCATTTTTCATGTACAAATCCCTCATTGCTGTAAATTGTTCCGTTCCTGCAGTAACCAAGATTTCAAGCATACATTGTTGTGCATCTACTTCAGCTTGCTTTCTATAAGAATCTTCTATCGTAGGATCATATTTTTCAACAAAAATTCCTTGAACAAACTGTACGGTCAGTGCAGACTTTCCAACACCTACTGAGCCAAGAACGACTAACTTATTTTCATGCATGGTGCAAACTTCTTGTTAAAACCTCTTACGCTGTCACCGGGTCCCCGCAGCCAGCGTCTCCGCACGCCTCGCGCTCGCTGCCGTTCTCTGCTCCCGGCGCCACGGCGGTCCAGCCGCTGCCACCGCTCCGGCTGGTTACACGCCTGACTCTTATTTGCAACTTTTTTAAAAAAAATTTATTGTATTATTTTTTTACGTGTACCATCAAATCAGATCTGACTGGTACAGGAGGAGATTGCCCCCTCCTTCTCCAGCAGAGCATCTGGTGGATTTGAACCGTATACCTCTGGGATTGCAGTGCAGCATCTTGCCACTAGATCACCAGAGCTCCCTTATTGGCAACTTTTTGAGAAGGCGCCATACAGCCTTCCATACTGGTCGCACCATTTTACACTCCCACCAACAGTGAATAAGTGTTCCAGTTTCTCCACAACCTCACAAGCATTTGTTTGCTGTTTTGTTAAATTTTGCTATTCTTACTGGGTGAGATAATATCTCATAGCTGTTTTGAATAGGAAAGTTCCAACCCAACATCAACAATGATGACGTTATTTGCTCTGACAAACGAAACCGCTGGAGGAGGACTGCAGCAGGGCACAACCCTCTCTAATAAGGGACGAAAGGGCAGATCCCCAGGAACTGGCCTCGGGTGTCATTTACCTTCCCGGAGGTAGAAGAGGGCGGCCAGTGAGCTGAGGAGAGGCCGCAGAACTACCAGGAAACAAAGGCCCAGAGCGGAGCAGGCCTGCTTTGGGCCTGGTCCCCTGCATGGCACAGCCTTAGGGGAGATCAAAGCAAGTGGGGCTCCAGAGGACAGAGGCAACAAGGACTTTTCTCCAGAATCAAAGGGCTGTCAGCCTGGAGTTGGCCCCTGGAATTAGGACGTGCTAGATCCCACGCTCCAAGAGGGCAACTTTGTTTGTTAAATTGTGCACTTGTGGTGTCTGTTATGGCTGCGTTAGAGACACTCTAAGCTGGGAAAGGTCGAGAGTCGGCAAGACGGAGCATGACCCTCAGTGAGATGATTGGCTCAGTGACCACACAGTGGCCTTCCATGTGACAGAGACCATGATGACAGTGCAGTCAGACCAGCTCATAGTCCTAGTCCACTCAGGGGCACCTACCAACCAACGATAAGTTGTTGTTGCTGTTAGGTGCTAGCAAGTCAAGCACGACTCATAGTGACCGTGTGAACAACACATCTGACCCCGTCCTGTCCTGCGCCATCCTCACACTTCCTGCCACACTAGAGCCCATTGCAGCAGGCACCGTGTCAGTCCACCTGATTTAGGGTCTTCCTCTCCTTCATCGACCCTCCACCCTTCCCAGCATCTTCCTCTCCAAGGAATAGCCCCTCCCAGCAACATGCCCAAAGCATGAGGGGTGAAGCCTCGTCACTCCTGCCTCCAGAGAGCACTCCGGCTTCCCCCTCTCCAAGACAGATCTGTTTGTCCTCCTGGCCGTCCATGGGTGCTCAGTGCTCTTCTCCAACACCACAGCTCACAGGCATCAAGTCTTCTGTCATCCTTTTTCACTGTCCAGCTCTCAGATGAATCCCAAGTGGTCAGAGAGACCATATCCTGAATCAGATACACCTTAGTGGTTCAAACTGACATCATTACCCCTCAATAATTTGGAAAGGTCCCTAACAGCAGATTTTCCCAGTGCAGTGCATCTCCTGACTTCCTGACTGCTCGTGCCAAGGGTGTTAATTGTGGATCTAAGCAAGATGAAGCTATTGACAGTTTCAAACTCTTTCTCCATCCATCATGACACTGCTTATCAGTGGGGTGATTAGAATCTTTGTTTTCTTGATATTGAGACACAATCTACACTGAAGACTACATTCCTTGATCTTCTGCAACAAGTGCTTCAAGCCCTCATCACTTTCAGCAAGCAAGGCTGAGTCATCTGCATAACACAGGTTATTGACGAGTCTCCTCCAGTCCTGACGCCACACTCCTCTTCATAGAGTCCAGCTTCTCGGTGCTCAGCATACAGATTAAATAGATATAGATGGAGAATATGACCCAAACACATTCCCTTTTTAATTTTAAGCCATGCATTGCTGCACTGCTCTGTTCTCACAACAGCCTCCTGGTCCAGGTATAGGTTTTGTGTGAACACAATTAAGCGCTCTTGGATTCCCATTCTTCTCAATGTCGGCCACAGCTTATTATGATCCACACAGTCAAATGCCTTTGCATTGTCAATAAAGCACAAATAGACATATTTCCTTACTTTGAGCCAGGATCTGTCTGACAATAAGCTGAAAAGTGTATTTTTCATCCTAAGTGTTTGAAAGCGTGTGTGTGGCATCTCATCTCAGTCACTCAGCTGAGCAGACACTTCGGGGTGGTGGCTGTGGTAGCCGACAACAGAGGCCACCAAGGCGGCATGGCAGAGCCAGCCCTCACCCCAGAGGGTACTTTGTTTTGTGCATGATACAGGAGAATGACAAGTTTAAAAAAAAAAGAGGAAGAAACCGTTTCTAATGGTGACAGTTGTTACAAGGGACCTGAAGCCAGAGAAGGCCTGCATGGAGGAAGTGGTCAGAGAGGGCTTCCTGGCAGAAGTGGCATCTGACTCAGCCTGCAGGGGCTCTGTTTGCAGGGTAGACTGTCCTGGGTCGGACGGTGCTTCCCCAGAAGTGAGTCCTGGGAGGAGGGTCCTTACAGACATAATGACCCAGGGTGCTTGAGCAGGGAGGGACCTCATAAAATGACAGTGTTCTTTCTTATAACAAGAGACACAGACAGACACACAGATGGGAGAGGACGGCTGTGTGGCAGCAGAGTTTGGAGCTTAGTGTGATGTGGCCACAGGTGCAGGACGGTCAAGGATGGCCATCACTCTGCTCAAGGGCCTGCAGAGAGCATGACGGCTACGCCTCTGACCCACATTCCTGCAGCCCGGTCTGGATGTGATAGGAAGGAGCCCTCGTGGTGGGAGCTTGAGGGGTTGTGGTTCAAATCCACCAGCTGCTCTGTGGAAAAAAGATCTGCCAGCCCTCTTGCAGAGACCTGCCGCTCCGGGAACCACTGGAGGGCTGAGGGCGTGGGGTGAAGACTTGTCCTTGGCTGTGTACACGCAGTGTGGCCGAACCCTGGGCTTCCCAGCTGCAGAGGACCCCACAGAGACCACAGGCGTAAGTGACGCAGTGACAGGCACAGGGACAGGGTCACCTATGAATCACTGGCCCAACTAATCACCACCTTGTCCAGTGGCACAAAGTGCTGCCTGTCCTGGATCGGAGTACAGTCGCCCGTGAGTGGACGCAAGTAGGTGCACCCCCATCCACAGGGTTGTCACTGGCCAGTCCCTGCGAATGGACGCAGGACGGTGCACGCTGTCACG